TAAAAGTGGAGAGGTACCGGGGGAGTCAGATGTCCGGCAGGTTGTAGTATGTCAGAATTCCAATGTCTATATTGAGCCCATGAGTTTCTGTACCTAGGAGGTTAATGAAGTGCAGTTCATAGGCTTGTCGGTGAAAAGTGATTTGTAAATTCCCTTTGAGGATCAGTCCTGAGAGATTGGAGACAGGTAGTTGGGTGTGATAGATTTTCGGTGTGTGCTCATTCTGGTGCGCACGTTTGTTGCTTGGTGTGTCCTACATATTTTCAGTTGGGGCACTTAGTGCCCTGATGGAGATATGTCTTATGAAGATATCTCCATACTGGAGATGTTGTTGGCAGGTTTTGCATGTCTTGTCATGGCATGGTCTGGATCTGTTCGCTATGTTTTGGGCTGTAGGAAGTTGCCTTCTGATGATGAGGTTAGCGAGGTTCAGTGCTTGTTTGAATTTACAAACGGCTTTTCACAGACAAGCCTATGAACTGCACTTCATCAGCCTCCTAGGTAGTAGGTACAGAAACTCATGGACTCATTATAGACATTGCAGTTCTGACACACTACAACCTGCCAGACATCTGACTCCCCAGGTACCTCTCCACTTTTACCTGCAATGCTATATCCCCAACATCTCCTCCCACCACAGTCTGTCCCTCACCCCCTGGCGCCTTCATTTCCATTTTTACTGACTGGCTTTCTTGCCTGCATTGCATGTCAGCCTCTGGCTTCTTTACTATTCCTTTCATCCAGGAACAATGCATGCACGCACACAACTGTAGGTGCTTCATCAGCCTGACGAAGGATTTTTCAACCTGAAAGCTTGCTAAGATACATTTCTCAAACTATTCAGTTGGTCTACTAAAAGATATCAGCTTGACCCAAAGAACCTTGTCTGCCAGTGCCATGTCCTTAGACCAACATGGCTACAGCCTACACCCCTAGCACCTGCCGCTGGTCAGCTGACTGGAAGGATGCAAGGCCCTGGGCACATCCAAGCCCCAGAGCTGGGGCCGGCAGGGAGACTTCTTTGGCAGCTGCTGGAGAAGCAGCTTGTGCAGGAAAGGAAAGAAAGGCTCTGTCACAGTTTGGCTGCCTGAGATTCTGGTAGTGCTAGTGTGCTGCTTACTTACCTGTTGTTATTACTGTCCCTTTGAAATGGAAGTCAAAACAAAACAGAGCTCTTTCGTACAGCCCTAGCAAAAGGCATCTGACTAGGATTGCCTAATGTTAGTTTTTTTCTGAGTGAGCAATGCAATATTAGTTTTTTAAGAGAACAGCGCAGAAAGTAGAGACACCTGAACATCAGCAAGAACAAAAAGGAAATGGAAGAAGAAAATAAAATGCTAGAGAAGTCTGGTAAATGGACAACTAATTTTAATATATCCTTAAAAATTCCTGTAGAAACCTAGGTCATATTCCTCACCTTTTAGAAATGTTAAAATTTATGTTAACAAGGATCTCAGTCTCTTTTACTCCAAGCTGCTGTAAGTATTCCTTAACAATTAATTTAGGGAAAGCTACATTTAAAACAGGATTTATACTTCAGTGAATTGAGCCTGATACTACTTTGGTTCATGGTGTTCCTTTCCTCATTCTTAAAATTCTGATAGAAACACTGAGTATCTGCAAGTTAGCTTGATGCAGTACAAAAGTTTGATTTTTAGCTTATAGGATATACATCAGTATATGTATATTATACAGACGGAACCCATTTTTTTTCTTTATGGAGGCACTGCTCTTCTTACTGATTGTTCCTTTTATAGCCAAGATAATTTTGAGAAACAGAAATAGGTCAACTAGAATTTAGTCTTCAAATATGTTATGAAACTATTAGTGACAGTGAATGGAAGCCTGAGATGTGTGTTCTCATGTGACTAGGTATAGCTTTGGAATGATGTTGATTCTTGTGTGTATTTTTAGAGACAGTTTCTGAACATTTTTACATAGCTCTTTGTATTTGAGAGAATAGGTAAACGAACACCATTAACATATATACATTTAAATATCTGGGAGACAGCTACTATGTAAGTTTTACACAAAGCCACATGTTGGAAAAAAGTGCTGATTTTTCAGTTTTGAAATTGCTGATTGCTGTTTTGCAGTGTGCCGCCATGTTTATAAGTGTACTCCGTTTTTGGCTTTTATGAAAGGAGACTAAAGTGGTAGGTAAAAATGTATTAAAATGAGAAAATTGCAAGAGAGGGAGGCCAAAGCTTTTAGCAAGGGATGGAAACATCTTTATGAAATTAGTTTCAATGAGCCAAATGTAAACATTTCCCCTCTCCACATCTTCTCTAGTTAGTGCACTAAGTAAAAGGACTGAAGTGAACAAGTCAGTGTTTCAGAAAGTGGTTCCCATATAGTGAGGTTTCTTTGGTTTTTGAAAGATTAATTTCCTGTCTATTTTTTACAAACCTTTATCAACCTGTGCATTGAGGAGAAATGTCAGAATTTTTTTGCAGCGCATGCTAAAATGATGAATATGCAACATAGGGAGAACTATTTTCAGGAATCATATGTCATTTTTAATGGAAGTGAGCTTATTCTCTGAATATATTATACAAAGTCCGACAAGAACATTTGCTGTAAGCATACTGGTGGAACATTCTGCTAGTGAGGTGTCTGTCTTGGACTCAAGTTTTATTCTGATCTCCATTTTCTCTCTAATGTTTCTGCCCAAGATACTCTTGTGACTTGGTTTCATTTTTCTGATCATCCCTTCACACCTCTAGCTCCTCGGAGACCATGCAAATGCATTCACTTTAAGGTCCATTTTAACCAGAGCCATGAGAAAGGGCTGTGTTGTAAATGAAAATCCTGTCTGTTATGTATAGTGGAAGTAAATAATAAATGTAACGTAATTTCTAAAATATATGTAAGTGCATGTTAGAGACTGGTTGGTCTGCCAGTCCCCACCGGGGAAAAATACGGGCTTGTTATGCAGAATGAGATTAATTAAAATACATCAATTCTTTTAAATTGGTTAGAATTAGAAAGCTTGTGTTGCACTCAGGGGAAAAGTAGAAGCAGAGTTGCTTATGTTTTTCTCATCCGGGCATTTTTATTTTCAGAGGGGGAAGGTGTTTCAGAGGCAAAACGTTGATTTATTTAGAAGTGTTTAGAGCTGTGCTTTCCAAATTTTTCCTCAGCATGGCCTCTTACCCCCAACCTACAGCCCCTTGGCCCTGAGGTGCCTCTCAGTCGCAACCTGCAGCCCCCTGGCCCTACCAATAACGTTCCCTCCTGACCCACTGCTGGTGATGCTCACTCCCAACCTGCTGCCCCCTGGCCCTGCTGGTGCCTCTTCCTCCCAGCTTGCAGCCCCCCCCCACTCTCCCCATGTGTTCCAGAGCCAGGGCCTGCAGTCCCCTGTGGGAGGCAGCAGCTGCTGCAGCCAGAGCAGACTGTTGCGCCTGGCTCCTGCCCCACACCCCGTCCCCTCCCCTGTGGGTGGCACAGCTGGAGCAGATCCCCTGTGGGGGGAGGGTAGGATTCAGGCTGCCTGCTGCAGGCTTGGGGCTCCCTGCCCTGCTGCCCTCCCCCTGGGGCTCCACAGCCCAGCAGGTGGGACCTAATGCGGGAGGGAGCCCCACATTGCCATGGCTGGCAAGCTGAGCCACCCCCTGCCCATCCAGCAGCACTGGGGGCACAACTCCATGCCGTGCTGCACCTCACCTCGGCAGCCATAATGGTGCAGCATTCCTTCCAGCACTGGATCCTGCCTGCTGGGCTGTGGAGGCAGCTTCTGCCTGGAGCTGCTTCTGCCTCACTGCAGCCCCTCACCCTGCTGTGAGCACAGAAATCTTGTGACCCCAGTTGCTGATGTTGCGACCACATTTGGGGTCATGACCCACCATCTGGGAACGGCTGGTCTGGAGCTATGTATCAACAAGGTGTGAAATGTTCTATTAGATCAGACTGGTTGTAACTTTCACTCTCTCTATCTGTCTGTCTAAGATGCAAGGCAATAGAGAATCAAGCCCAATGTATTTAGTAGCCTTGTAATATGTGGTTGCTCTTCTTGGTAGTTCTGACATACAATTTAGGCTGCAGCGTGTTGTTGGGTACAGGATGTTGCCTAACAAACTGAGTACCAGGGATCCAGGTTTTCCATTTCTGACGGGGGAAAAATGGACTAAAATGCAGATTTCTCATTTTAGCAGAGAAACCCATGGATTTTGCAGTTTGCAGCAAGCTCTCTGTGAGCTGGCAGAGTTCCAGCTGGTCGGGAGCAGGAGGAGGGTGGTTAGGCAGGGGACACCATGTGCATGTACATGCACGTGGCTCCAGGCAGCCTGGAGAGCAGCTCCCACAGGTAAAGCGGGGGGAATTGAGGTCCCCATAGGGAGGGAGGGAGTTGGGCAGGGTTAGGGCTGGAGCTGCTGCCCAGCTGGGCAGTGTGTGGGGTTTGGGGCCTGTGATTTTAGCTTCAGTTACTACGGGATAGGAGCAGATAAACTGTTACAGAAGATCAGCCTAAGTTATCTGCACTTGTGATCAGTAAGTCACCTTTTAAAGTGGTGTACTTACTTTGTCTGCTCACAAGTTAAATTACTAACACTTTCTTTACAATGTCATATTCTTATGTTGAACACCTTTTAGAACATTGTTTTTCTGTAATGTCAATACTTGTAGCAGAGTATTTCCATGGGGAAAACTGAATTAGTTTGTATTCTATTCTGCCAAGTTTCACGGTATTACAAGTGAAGCAGGAATCCATAGTCTGATCCTACTCTGGTTAGTCAATACGACTGCAGGATCAAGGAGAATTTCTTGTTAATGTTTTTACAGGTATGAACAACGCCCCAAAAAGTCAGATGACAGTCTTTTAAAATTGACTGAACCTTCTGAAGAAACTGCAAGCAATAACATTGTCATCAGCGTTAGAAGACATGATGTTCAGAAGAAAGGTTTGTAGTGAGGAGCAATGTTGTTTTGCATTTAGATGCTTGGACAATACATTTAGGCTGCGTACAGACATTTCGGAAAGTTAGGGAGATGTTAGATTGAGTTAGCAGGGGGAGGGGTTGGGAGATGGAGGAGCAAGCAGGGTCTGTGGGGGGAATTGGGTGGCAGGTGGGGTCTGCAGAGGGATTGGGAGTAGATGGCATTTATAGCGGGGAATCTTGAGGGCAGGTGGAGTCTGTGGGAGGGATTGCGAGGGCAGATAGTGTAAATGGGAGGGGAATGGAAGTGGGGGCAGGCAGAGTCCATAGTGGGGATTGGAGGGGATCTGGGAGCATTTGGCTGGATTGGGGGGGGGCTTGTGGGATCTACAGAGGGGAGGCAGTTTGGGGGCTGTCTTCCCTGGGATCAGGGGCTATTTTTAGTCCTTTGACCCCCAGCAAACAACCATCACCCCCAGCAAATCAACAACCCCCTGCCACAAACCACTTGCCCCTTCTCCCCACCCTGACTTGCTTGGCTCCCAGCAGTAGTGAACCCCAGTAAAACTGGCACTGAGACCAGCTTGCAGGATGGGGATTCAGCAGGCTGTGGTGCAGCTGAGGGAGGCTATCCTTTGGAGGGAGGGGTTGGGGAGCTTAAAAATAGCCCAGTGCCAGGGAGGGAGTAGAAAAAGAACAGTTTGGGCCTGGGCCTGGGCCTGGGCCTGGGCCAGTGCCTGAGTTTCCCAGGCCTGGGGCTGCTCTGGGAACTGTACAGAAGTTCAGGACAGTTAGATCTGTTTAACAGTGGTCAACCCAATCTAAGTTAGGTGCACCTCGGAGTTAGGTTTAACTTCTGTACAGTTTACACTTCAGTCAACCTAAGTAGTCTGAGGTCTGCACCTGGGCAAACTAAGTTAGATCAGGCGGCCAATTTCAACTCAATCTAACCCGTCCTGAACTCCCCAAATGTCTGTATGCAGCTTGAGAGTCCCTAGAGTTTGGGGAAAAAAATTCTTAACCTGTTTGTCCTTGAGTTACTGTATCTGAAGTAGAGGGCAATATAAAGCTTTGCAAGCAGTATATGCATTGTCTCATAATGTTGTTTTTAACTGTGGTAGGAAATGTATAGGATGTGGAGACCACCATATCCAGCTGAAACGGCAAGAGGGTTTAGAAAGGCAAAATGTGAATTACCCACATAAGAATTTGGATTAGATAGTGAGGATAACACTCCTACTCTGAAGGTAGCTGTTAGCTCAGTTACATCTTTTACTAACTTTTGTGCTCCTGAAGATTTCAGGTTTGTCACTTTTAATTTAATGTATTCTTTAATATTTAATTTAATATTATAATATTTTTCTTTCTATCTCTGTTTTATTTTGGGACAATTATCTCATAAGTGTACACAAGAAAATTGGGGAAAAAAATCTCTTGTGGAAGCTAATACATGCTTTTATTTAAAACATCCTGAAAGAGAGCTGAAAATAAAATCTTTAAGAATGACCACCAGTAAATTGTATAGTAGTCTGTGTCCCATTAAGTGACTTTTTAAATATTAAATCTTTTGATATAGAAAATAAGGAAGCTGACCACCAGGATAAAAGGAGTAAAAATCTGAAAAACACATCTCTTGACTGGAAGGAAGCAAGCTGTCTGAATTCTGAGAAGAGGAAAAGAAGATTTGGGCATCTTTCTGATCAATGTAATACACATTCTTCAGAAAAATTATTACTGTCCTGTGTAAGTAGTAATTCTGTTTTACTAAAGTATTTTCATGCTTCAACAGAAGCAACTAAAATCCAAAGCTCATAACAGTATCTAGTAAAGTAGTCTTAATGGCTGCCTATAAACATGCAGAAATGGCTGCTCATACATGTGCTTGTTGGTGTTCTCATTAGAACACATTGGAGCAGACTTGATTAATCAAATCTGCTCTGTGTTCTAATTAGAACGCTGCAGCATCAAACATATTAAGCACCTGCAGGTTTAAAAATGGCCACAGAGCACTTTAATTAAACCTTGTTGAATAAAGTTTAGGTAAAGCATCCTGCAGCCATTTTATGTGGAGGAGTGACACTGCATTTTTAAGTAGAGTGGCTGCCCAGGAGCCACTCTAATTAGCTCCTGTGCCACGTCTGAGCATGTGTGTAGGCAGCCAAGTGCAGCTCCCAGCTGCAACTCAGAACTATTTCTGCAAAGCGTTCTGACTTACAGCATTACCCCAGACCAGACAGAAGTTCACTGTTGGTTCCAGGGGGAGGGGCATCTAGGTGCAGTCCGGGAGCAATGGCCATAGGCTTTTTTTGTCAGTGCTCACTGTTTTCACAATGGGAGGTGGGGAAAGGCAGCAGAGGGAGCTTGTTCTTGGGGCTCCCCAGCTGGTGCTGAAGGGTGGGGTGGGTGAATACCTCAGATGGGCTCTAATACCCTTGCCCCACCCTGGGGGGGGAGGGGCGGTTGGGGGGGTTAAAAACCCCAGACTGAACTCCCTCTGATCTCTTTCTCCCCCTCCCATTCTGAAAACAGCAACCGGCTGGGAGTTCAGCAGACACAAGTTACAAAAGATGCTACATTTTGAAATGTCATTATCTGACACCTCATGTAACCAGGGGTCAGATTTTCACCTGATCGGCCATTTTTGAAGCTGTCTGCAGCCATGTGCTTGTTTTTGGTCACAGCTTTAAGCTGGTTTCTGTGGCCAGATCAGGTGAAAATTGACACTTCTGTGTGCATCATAGAAGACATCACATGCCCCTAATTGATTTCTGGTGTTGAATAGAATCTTGAAGTCTCTTTCTTTTTATTAGTCTATAATGACACACACAAACCCTGATCCTGGAACATTTACATTCTCTATTTGAGTAGTTCCATACGAATTTGTATGACTAAGCAGGTATGCAGAGTTACTTTTGCAAGTGCTTTTAGGATCAGAGTCCAAGTAGCAGAATTTTACAGGTATGTTCCGTTGCTGCTTTTACTGCATCTTGCATTTTCAGAATTTTTTTATGTATATTGTAATCTAAGATGCTAAACTATGCCTTTAAAATATGAGTCGCATTAATTAGCGTGGCCTTCCAAATAAACTATTTTAAATAAATGTAATCAAAAACATTAACTGCAGTGTAAATATAGTATCAAAGCTTCCTTCACTAACAGAATCCAAATGCCTATGAACCTTGAAAGAAGTTAAAATGAAAAATTATTAGAGTTCTTAGATTCTTGAAGAAGGTATCAAGAGCAAATATACGCTTTTTGTTCATGAAGCAAGCAAAACTGGGAAAGAGCTGAACTGAGGGAATGTAAAATCAACGGTCTACTGTAAGTTGTCTTTGTTCAGTCATCTGAATTCTGTGATCAGGGCTGACCCTACCAGAGGGCGGGGCCTGGGGCAAATCAGCCTGTGCAGGACCCCATTAACATTCTTTTAGAGCAGGGTGGAGGCAGCAGCCCTGGCACTTGTGCTGAGGGTGCTGCTGCTGATGTAGCCCTCCACAGGGGGCTGCCTGCAGCATGGGGCAGCCAAGGTGAGGGCTGCACTGGGTCGGGGATGCTGTTGTGGCAAGGGGCTCCCGAGCTGCGGTGCCTTGTGCGCAGCAGCCTCACAGGGGTGCCAGGTCAAGCTGTGCTGCCGGGCGAGCACTAGACAGCACCTCTGCTGCAACTCTCAGAGCCAGGTTGTCGAAGCATGAGGCCCCCAAATCACGGGGCCTGGGGCAGTCACCCCAATTCACTGTATTCTAGGGGTGGCTCTGTCTGTGGTGATGATTGCTCTCTAAAGGCCTGATTGAAAGCCCATTGAAGTGAATGGACAGACACCCGTTAACTTCAATGGACTTTGGACTAGCACATAAATTCCAGAGGTCCTGAACCTGATTGCTATACAGTACCATTAGGTTCTGACTTCAGCAATGGTTGCTAAATGCTCATTGCCTTTCAGTATCAGAGACTGAGCTATACACCAAACATTTGTATGCAGCTTTCTTCTTTAGTTTGGAAGTGATCCTGATTTCTTGCAAGGTTGTTTCCTGCTTTCTGTAAATCAGTCAAATGTTCTATACCGCCATAATCCAGGAAGAAAAAAAAAAGAATCTTGGTTTGAATTTAAATTGAGCTATATTAAGCATACTTCATTCACCGTGCAAGCTGCATTGCTGGTTTGTCCCAAAGCTGAGTCACCTTAGCAAAGTCAGGAAATGAGCATCTTGCACTTCAGAAAAGTGAGTAAACCTTTTGGTTTTTGTTTTCTAGAAAGAACAAAGAATTAGTTCAGATCAGCTACCAGACTGCAGAGGCTCTAGTGAGAGCAACTGTGGCCACCAAGCTAACCTGCTTCAGGAAGATATTCCTAAGCTACGAAGCACAGAAAGCGAAGCAACATCCATCCGGGATGATGGGAAGCCTGCTGCTAGCTGTGCAAAGGAATCCTGCTTGGAGTCTCCTCCCAAGAGTTGGTTGCCTAGCAAACTGAAGGTGGACACATCGGAGTATATGAGGAAGTTGCGTAACAGGTGCAGGAGCAATCGGACATTTATACCAGCTGAGCCAAGTATGTACCTGCACTGATAGTAGTAATTATACATATTGATCCATCTAGAAACTTAGGAGAGGCAGGCATGACTACCTAGTATAAATATGTACTTGAAGCAGAAGATTTAGGTGAGAAATTGCACTTTTTCAAAGCATTCTACAAGCGCAGGATGAATGCACAGTATGCACCATGGGAGTGCATTGTTTTGTAACTGAGGAGTGGTACCTTAAGGGTGGGTGACATTTTTTTATTCTTCCTTGTTCTGCAATTGACTCATTATGGAGCTTCAGGTAGGTCACAGTGTACTTGTTTCCAGTTTCCAAAATGAGGGAAATGTTTACTTTCTTTTAAGGTGGTGTGCTGTGACTTCATTAATGCCAGAAAAATGTCATTCGGTTGTTAGCTAAAAGGTAATCAGAAATGCAAGTTAGATACTGTTGCACACACTTATTTTTATATCTGTACAAAAATAAAAAAGTAACATACTTTTTAATGCCTAATTGTACTGGAGTGAGTAAAGGATGCAGTGTTACTCTTAGCTTAGAATCTTCTCCAAGCCTTCTACTTCCTTTCCTGGTTATTGAGAAATACAGAAACAGTCACATATGTGTGTGCATGTATAGTAAAACACCAATTATTTGTATCTGAATGGTTTGCAACCCACTTAATTCTGTGGGTTGTTGAATAAGGACAAACTGCTCAGCTGTTTGCTGCAGCTTCTACTTCAAAGGTCGTTGCTCCCTTATCTGCTATAACTTATCAGCAGTCCTGCACAGCTGATGGCTGCAGTTGTATGTGTCCTAGACTGTTTGCAAACTGTTGTCTTTGCAGGAGGCCAAAGAACCTAACCATATGAAATATATCCCAGTTCTGTTGTATATAAGTGGGTTACTTGAGTTAATGCACAGCTCAGCTTCCAGGGCTCTTCTCGCAGTGCAGCGTTTAATGGTCATGAAGACCATTAAATGAGAATTTCAGGGTGTATTTTTTTTTTTCCTAAACAGAAATCTTCAATTTGATATGACACACAATTTACTCTGAAGTCTGAGTCTTATAATACAAAACTACATTTTTCTCTTCAGTTGTTCTTTCCAGTGACGAGGAAGAAGGATCTTCTGAACCAGATCACCCAGAAATGCCACATGTGCAGCCTGGGCAAGATGATTCACCTAACAGCAGAGAGAGAGAGCAAGACACTGAGTCTTTGCCAGAGGAGCAATTGCAAGATATAATCGAAAGTAAATCTGAACAGGTAGTCTGCTTTTAACCCATAGAATTTTGGATGCCAGGCTGTGAATGAATTTGTACATACTTGGGTTGCATTATAAGACAATTTGAGATGCGTAAAGCAGAATAGGTAACTTCTAGAAGCAGGCAAGTAGACACATGCTGCAGTCTTTCTAGGTCAGTGTTGCTCAACCTTCAGCCTGTGGGCAAAATCCATTCCATGAAGCCATGTCATGTGACCTTCAGTGTTCTCCATGGGTCTGAAAGTTGGGGGCAGGGGAGTGGACAGCACCTTTGGACTGACCCAGTGCTCCTACCCCGTGTGGGATTCAGCCTGCAGACCAGTCCCATGTTGCTCGTTTGGTCTTTTGGGCTGGAAGGTTGGGTACCACTGATGTAGCTTGCTAGGGTAAATTTCCATTTGTTATTTCTATCCCTGCAGCTTCAGTGTTTCTATAATCTCAAAATATCAGTGCCTTTAATAGTAAAGTTAGGGACTAAATAGTAGCAAAGGTTGGTAAAGAAACAGCTGTGGGTGCTTTTCCGCTCCCTCTACTCTTCCAATCCTTTGTCGCTTTTTCTATAGAGCCTACCAGGTATGTTGAATTTACACAGGGATCTTTCCCATGAACATCACAAAGGACTAAGTCAAAACTAGTCATTCCCTTTGTACTTAATGGGATTTGAACTGAAGGCTCATGTTAAAGCAAAGTCAATAAAACACTTGCCCATCTTATACGTGCCACGGTCATTGTTGCTGGCAGACTTTAAAGTGTCTCTGAGGGTAATGCAGTAAGGGTTTGAAAATATTATTGTTGCCATTCTGCGAGGAGGGGGAGCTTCCATGGCTCTAGGTCAAACAGTGAGGTTGGATTGAGTGGGTTTGCAGGAAGGGCTGTTTTCTATATCTGTATTGTCTTGGTCTTATTTTGAATTGTATCACTTTTCATAGTTTCATAGTTTCATAGATTAAGGGTCGGAAAGGACCTAGTAGGTCTTCTAGCCCGACCCCCCGCCAGGGCGGGAGAACAACAAAACCCCAAAACAAGAAACGGGACTCAAATGAGTCCAGCCAGGTAGGCATCCGGCCTCTTCTTAAAGACCCCCAGGGTAGGGGCCAGCACCACTTCCCTTGGAAAGAGAGTGAAGAGGCATCACTCTCTTTTCAAAGAGAGTGAAACTGGACTGTTACATTTGAGGGGCCTAAACTAGGAAGAGTGGATTGTTGCTTATCCCTCTGAAAAGGTAACAAGTACAACATGTAGTATAGAGTACCAGCATGAAAAATAACTTCTAAGAGCAACATGCACAAAAAATTCTGATAAGGTGGGGAAAAATTCTGAGTTTAGCAGGAGAAACCTCAATTAAGACACTATATTAAAATATCCTTTACTTTGTAGGTTTCATCTGAACCATGTGAAGACAACTCTTCCACAGGGTCACTTTCCAGCAGCACACCAAATGAACAAAGGGGTCCAGCATTAGATATCAAGTATGCCACTCTGTACATCGGGAAAATCAAAGGAACAGCAACAGGCTGTGTTTCAGTAAGTTGGTTTGTTGTTATTCCTGCCATTCATAGAAAAGACAAAACTTCAGTTAAATTACATATGTTTTGAATCCTAAAGTTAAGCTACATGCCAAATTATTTTGATCAAGAGATGTCAAGATCAAGTAATGTAACCTGTCACTATCTTTTGTACTTGTGGGTTCCATTCAGCAATTGGAAAAGATATCAATATTTGCCAAGGTCCATACTCTGGAGATTTCAGAGACAGAATTTTTATGAGTAGGCAAGGTTACTTGCATTAATTGACATAAATTGGACAGGCATGATGTAACAAGGCAATCTGTCTTTTTTTAAGAGGAAGCCCTGTTAAGAGAGCCCAGGTGCAGGGCATTTGGATAATGAGGTAGTGTCCCACTAGGGAAGATACCAGAAAGGCAGCAAACAGTGAGGGGATAGTTTGTAAATAGGAGGCAACCAGTGAGCAGAACAAGCTTGCTACTAGTGAGAGGCCAGGCTGGTGTGCTGCGGTCAAAGCCAAAGATCTCCTCTTGCAGGGCCTGGAGCAGGGCAGAAAGGTTTTGTTTGTTTGTTTGCTCCTCAAAGACTGCTTTATTTGGGAGGACTGGTAGAGGAGTTCATCAGGGAGCATAAACTGCCTGCAGAAACCAGCAGGCTAGGCAACCTGCTTATAGACAAGTTTTTTTTTTATATGTAAAAAGAGAATACACATACTAATCCTGTCAGGATTTACAATATTTACCCAAATTCAAGATTGCCCTGAATTTAAGATGACCCCCTGCAATAATTAGATTGTATACATAGGAAATGTACAAATTTGTTAAATTATCCATCTATAGAATCTAAATGTTGCAGGGTCATCTTAAATTTGTCCCCCCACCGTTATAACAGGGAAAGCAGTTGCAGGCCAGTGGGGGGCCGGGCAATGGAGCTTAATCCCTGCCCCCATCCCCCACCACTTTGTCCCTGATATCTGTCCACCCCACCACTTGTTGCCCATCTGTGCCTACCCTTCTTGCTGCCTCTGTTCCCTTTTTCCCCACCTTCTGCCCCCACTGCTTGCCCACATGAGTCCCTGCTGCTGAGCTGAGCTGAGCTGTGCCCACATGTGACCAGCCGCGGCGGGACTCAAGGTGCAACAGCAGTCCACCCCCGCAGAGATGGGGAGGGAGTCCACCCTGTGCCCCTGCAGGAGCCCCTGGGCTCCAATCCTCCCACAACCTTGCCAAGCTTGGGCCCTACTTAGTTCCCCCTGCTCCTGACTGGGCCACACGGTCAGTTGCTCACCATGGGGGTCTTGATCTGGCCCCCATCCCTTCCCTCCCCCACAGATTGACTTGCTGGAGCTGGGGGCAGTGGGTATGCACATGTCAAGCCCAAGATCCACCCAAAGAGGCTTCAGGATCTACCTGTTGATTGGGATCCCTGGGTTGGTGACCACTGGAGTAGGGAGATAGAGGTGGAGGGTCAGACAGCAGCTGCGGCTCCGGCCCTAACCCTGGGCTGGGGCCACAGTCACATCAGTTGCCTGCCCCCTCCCATCTCATACTTGAATCCATGACAGGGGGCTTGACACTTTGGATTCCTATTTTAAAACATCTGAGTTTGTTTTGTGAATCATGAGTAGGTGTTTGCACACCTAACAGTGCTAGTATTGCATGGCATCCTGAAAAAGATCTCACAACACTATATAGTTCCATGACGCTCTGCTTGACAATCACTGCCCTAAAACTTACCATTTAAAGGTTCTCTTCTTTCATAGCTTCAAAGAAAAGAGCACCAAAACTGCAGTATGGGAGATGCAGTAACTGGCCTGTCATGTCATAGTAAATAGAAATTACACCACAGGCCAGGGACACTGTGAAGTTTGGGTTTTCAGCAATTTCTTGACCCACTCAATATTCATACTACAGTGAAAAAAAAAATTCACAGCTTTTGTTTGAGAAATTGTTCTATCTTAGTTTATGTAATCACAATTTGTGGCTTCCCTTTACTAATACAAAGAGCTGTTGGTAGCAAAAGCCAATAAAAATGTTTACGTTCAGTGTCTCTCAATTTTGGATGCAGTAAAAACCTGCCCAAATGCCTTTGCTGTTAGCCGACATGCTGTTGGGTCAACACATCAGTACAGATTTTGAGATTTTTATCTTAGAAAACAGGTTTTGTTTCTAGTCTTTAAGGTAGTGAGAGAAAAACAAGGCCAAGTATAGAGAGTACTTTTAGTTTAAAATGACATCAGATATTTATTATAACTAACAAAAAAGCACCACCTTATGTTTGATAGTACAACTATTCTTAAATTGTTAAAATAAAACAAATGTTCACATCATTAAGTAAGGCTATGTGGAGTTAAGCTTTTGTTTTTGTGTTTAGACCCCTACATAAAGTGATGCAGTTTCTAGAAGAGTTAGGTATTCATAGCTTCTACTGGTTAAATAGAGTTTAGAGATTGCTCAGCACCTTTGTAAATCAGGACACTATTATTAGGTCCTTTAGTATGGATTTAAGAGTCTAACATGAGCCTGCCTTGTCTGAATTTTTTGCCCAAGTTGTCAGAGAAAAGACCAAAATAGTCATTTTTAGTTTATTCAG